TATGCTTAATTCCTCATTGATGATGTCGGGCACAGACCAACTGGTATTTTGGCCTTTTTGGGGTTTATATACAGGGTTACCCACAAAGGATGAGACTTCAGGGACGACGGTACGGAATTTAAACTGTCTGTTTTTTAAATTCATGGTTTCCTGCAACTTTCAACTTGTTTCGTTCTTTTTTAAATCATTAAATAAGTCATAAACTCGGTAAAGTCAAGGCAGAAGACTTAATTCAACCTTGGAATCTTCATGTTTAAAGCTTTTCAGGTCGTCCTTTGTGGATAACCCTATACATTATTAATTTGTTTGTTATCGTTTAAAGAAGAAGAGGTATCAAGTATGCGTGATCGATTAGTTGATAATATTGCATAAATACACTAACTCTGAATATACCAATAATTTGAATACAAATAATGATTTCATGCTAGAATTCTGCATTTACAAATCTAAACTATGATTAAATATCTCATCAGAGAGGTAACCTCAGTCTTAATGGAGAGAACCAGGAAATTAATCACATTAATTTTCTACAAAAAGTAAGTAAACAGTTTATGGTGTTTATGGTGCCTATTATAAGCACAATATACTATACGATTTGTTGTGTCTGTTTGTCCTCTAAAATATTAGTATGGCTTTATTCACTTAGTCCTGTCATGTTAAATTTGCAAAAACAAAAAATTAAAAATAATTGCGGAATTTATTAAGCAACGTAATTTTCGAAGTAAAATTCCTGGAAGAATTTAATCACAAAATACCCCAAGTTCTACAGCAATTCCAAAATGTGGTCTGAATTTTTGTTCTTTTAAAATAACCGGAGGTTTGAAGATTTTATTTAATAAAGGAATTGGTCTTTTCCACAAACTCAAATTTTAAAATCCCTATATCTTTGCAACCTGATAGTGCAGTAAACCTTTGGTAGTTCAAACTTAGATTATTTGATGTTAGAGAATTTATGGTTTGAAATATCTAAGGTCTACGACATTGGGTACAGGGATTACATAACCAGAGTTTGTGTCAAAAACTCAATTTCTTAAAATCTGATTTTTTCCACGAAGCTCTTGTTGTACAATAGCGGGTGTAAAAAATAGTCTGTGGTTCATGCTCATTCTAACCGGAGCATTATGACGAATTATATGATTTTGTTCACCACGAAAACTAGCATTATAAACTCTTCAATTGACAAAGTATAGGTTTTGTTTCTTCCATGTTTTATTCCATAAATTACATGGATCAATAATACTATAATACCAATTATTCAATCCATCTTCATAGCGAATACCTGGCAGGAAACCATGAGGGGATTTTTCAATATTTAAACCAAATGTAAAGTATCTAAGCTTACATACAATAATTGTTCCATTATTCACAGTAGGACGAAAACTATATATATATATATTCTTTTCAATAAATGTATCTTTAATAGTCTTAAATTAAAAAAATGCACATGCTTACTCTTCAATGAAGGATATACATGTACTCGTCTAATCTTCAATCATATTTCTTTTTTCTTTGTATCCGCTACTGGGTTTATCTCTTTAATGAGCATTTTCCAGGGGGATCGGAAAGGGGGGGAGGGGAAGAGGAAAGAGAAGGATTAGAGGGAAGAGTGATGAAGGTAGAAGGGATGGGGGAATTCAAGAACAGGAGGGGGGAATAAAAGGTTTACATGTAAGATTCTCATCATCGTAATCTAGATGAATTAGCATACCGTTTTGGGTTAACTAAACCTAAACTCGCCTAGACCCTGTGCCCAAATCGAAAGATGATCCTGCGCTTAAATCTGAATTTATGGAAATAATCAGCAGAATCTCTAGATACTGTAGGCCAGGATTTACTACTGGATGATAAACTAATCCAATATATATTCAAGAATTGGAATCGGAATTAGTTTAAAGGGATTGTTTGCCGATTTTGAAGTAAATATCTGACACATTTTTTGCTAAAATAATTGAATTTGAAAAAATTGTGATCAGTGTGTACGACCTTATTCTTATTCGTTATCAGATTAATTATGTCTTGTCAAAGGAATCGATTGGTTCAATACTTTAAACCAAACATAAAGATTAATCTATAGAACGCTGCACCCTGTCTTGGTGTTATGTTGTAGAAAAACAAGAAAACAGTCATTTATCTCATATTGGATTTTCAGTTTGCTGTTTGCTGTTTACACCTGGTATTTCATATTTTGTGGAAAATATCAAATATATTGATAAAAGCCTAAAAATGTCACCAAATAATATAGAACTTTTTAATCATGCAATATGTACATTTATAGCATTTAGGGCCTTGAGAAAAACCCTTCTCCCCTCAATTCCCATTTTTATTGAGACGTTTTTACTTTCCTTGTTCTAACGAAGTAGGAACTATCCTAAACATTCTAAATTGTTTATTTTATTTTGAAAAATGTTACATCCAATAATAATTTTAATAAACAACATCATCTTAATTATTTGATTTTTCTGAAGTATTAATTTTTTTATTTCCGTCCCTTCCATCGTCTTTTCAAGTCATGAAATATTGACAAATGTTACATTCAAATAAAAGAAACAGGATGCTTCTCTATCTGGTTAGTTCTGGGTGGCCGTATATAGAAGAAAATATATATTGGACAGTTTTGAAGAGCTTTCTGTATTTTACATTAAACTATGGTAAATTGAGCAAAATATTGAATTCTAAAATGTTTTCAATTATAACTGATCCTCTTATTGCAAAGCTATTGAGAAAAAAAAAAAAAATTGTTTTGAATTTTCAATAAAGGGTCATAAAATCGTTCTAGTAATGATGGTAATCTACTACAATTGGCTACAAAGATATTGGGATTATTAAAATCAGTTTTTTTTGTGGCAAAAACTCAGTTTCTTTAACCTTCTCCTTCTGTGTAGTTTGCAGTGATTTATTAACGATTTATAAAATTATATAAATTCATATCAGTTTAAAGATGTTGGCCTAATACAGTGCTCAGTCCCTTTACTAATAGCAGGCAGAACCTGAATGTTTACTGAACTATTCTTTATGAAGAATTCACCCCTTGAAATCCATTCGTTCCATTCCTCTCATCTAATGGGATCAAAATATTCAGTTGTGGACCAGGGATACTTTAAATGGAAATAGTTTTTTTTTTGAAAGAGCAGAAAATAAAAAAATTAGAATAGATCGCTATTTATCTTGCGCTGATTAAATTTTTTTGAGAAAATAAAAATTAAGGTAGAAAACATTAAAAATTGAAAAAAAAATAATTGAAAAAAACTTCAACTGAATTTCTGTAATAAACTTTGTAAGGTTTTTGAGTAGAGCTCATGAAAATACTATAAAAATACTAAGATTACAAGACCGGAACTAAAATATATATAAAATTACTAAGATTACAAGACCGGAACTAAAATATATATAAAAATTGCAATTTGCTCCACGAAGTCTATACATAGGTTGATTCTGGTCTGTATGTTAAGTTCTTAAAGTTGGCAGATCAATACTATACTCTGGCTCTACCATACTTCTAACCCATATATCTTACGGGGCAAGTATTTAAATGTAGCATGTATTCATTATACAAGGGTGTGTCATAAAACATAGGACTTAAAAGGTGTCGTTTAACATATGTAAACCAGTGGTGTGCAAACTATACGCGCGTACAAGATAAATATTGAATATTCATTATATTCTAATTATATTCATGAAAAAAAACATTAAATGTATATAGTTCTAGATCGTTATTCTGTTTGTGTAATTACTTTCCTCTTCCTTTATTTTATTTATCCAAATATGTTTCTTATTTAGGTTTTTAAACTCTTCTTGCATACAGTATGCAGCTTAAAAAAGTCGAGATAGAATATATGGTATTTTATGGGACCTTGCTGTTCATAAATGGCACATAGATAAATTAGATATGTAGAATGTATTGATATTATTTTAAATCATAAGGGGACCAGTTTTATTTATTTCTATTTAAAAATTCAAACTTTAAATAAGATTTATAAAAAAATAAACCCCTGTAATTCATTTTATAAATTAAAAAGCATTTGAACTGCGGCTTCGATTGTTTGACCACCACGATCCTTCATTTAAATTTACAAAAATACATAATATATGCTATATATGTACTTTGCACTAGCACAAAGCAACACATGACTGTTGCAAAAATTTGCGTCGACTGTTTATGCAAAATTGACAAGCGTAGGTAAGTGTTGAGGGAGAAGTTGTATTTTACACTGGATCTTGCGCTCCTCTGTGCCAAAAAGATAAAGTGCCGAAAATATGAAGATTTATTTTGTAGCAGAAATAATACACGCTGTATAAAGGATGTTTTGATGGAAAGGGGGCAGGGGGGGGGGGCAGTATTAACAGAATTAAAAAACATAAATCATAAATATATTTCAACTTTGATTAGGGTTTATTTTGATTTGTTTGACTCCGGAGAAAACTATAACAAGAGCTACAAGTGAGAAGTAGTTAAACTATGTTGACGTAGTTTAACCACTTTTCTTGTGTGTCGATTCAAGTTTAAAAGTAGTGGTTCAACAATCAGTCTACGTAGTTCAACTACTTCTCTTGCTACTCATTAAATGTGTTCCCTGTACTCCGATACGTGTGACGAAGGNTCGGTGGTAAATGTCTGTATAGAGAGTAGGTACAGGGTTAGTGGTAGGTGGTTACCCACAAAGGACGACTGCATAGAATTTACTCAGCTGATTTACATTAACGGTATTTTTTTCATTTTTTCTTTTTCAAATCATTCCGTATACAATCAAAGTTTTTATTTACAACAGATTTTTATATCTTAAGATCACATTCTTTATGGATAACCCTGTACATAAATGTTTACAAGCGGAATTATTCTGAAATGAAAGTTTGCATGTTAAAAGCAAGATGGTTTATCTAAATAATTTGCTTGCACGAATTTAGTGTTTATTTGTTTGTGAGTAATGATGTACATTAAATGAATGACTTTGTACTTTGAACTGTTTGCGTACATATACTTAAAGAAAATGCAATGTAATGTTCTCTAGTGAGGAATTATTTTAAGGTTGCCCCTTTACAGTTTCAATATTTGGTAACAGCTGTGAGATGGTCTGTTGGATAAAGAACAGGTGTAACATACGAAAAAACTTTCAGATAAACCTGCAAGATTTACCTGAAAAAAATGCGACTTCGGAAACGACCGAAAGAATTTTATTAAGTCTTTTTCCTTCAAATCATGGTTCCTTACAGCCTCGCACTGGTTTTTATCTTTGCCAGATCAATTAAAAGTTGAAATTCAACCTTTAAGGAGTTTGAGGTCGTCATTAAATTATTAATTCTTTGGGGTAACCCTGTAGTAGTTATGGAAGTGGGAATATTAGCTGTGAGATACAATTTTAGCTGTGCAGATGACTAGAAGTATTGGGTTTTATAGAAGTTGTAAGCTAAAGATAACTGTAAGATATGTTAGCTTTGAGATATAATAGCTGTAATGCATAGCAGCTGTAAATTTTAGTCGCTGTGATATATAGTTGCTGTAATATAAAGTAGCTGTGAGGTATAGTAGTTTATAATATATACTAATATAGTAGCTTTAATATTTAGTACTGTTATAATATATAGTAGCTGTTATATTTAGTGGCTGTGAGATATAGTAGCTGTTATGTATAGTAGCTGTAATATAAAGTAGCTGTTATAATATATAGTAGCTGCAGATATTTAATATCAGTGAGATATAGTAGCTGTGATATATAGTAGCTGTGATATATAGTAGCTGCAGATATATAGAAGCCTGTAATATATAGTAGCTGTGATATATAGTAGCTGTGATATATAGTAGCTGTGATATATAGTAGTGCTCTGTGATATATAGTAGCTGTGATATATATTAGCTGTGATATATAGTAGTTGTGAGATATAGTAGCTGTGATATATAGTAGCTGTAATATATAGTAGCTGTGATATATAGTAGCTGTGAGATATAGTAGCTGTGATATCGATTAGCTGTGATATATAGTAGTTGTGAGATATAGTAGCTGTGATATATAGTATCTGTGATATATAGTAGTGTTCTGTGATATATAGTAGCTGTGAGATATAGTAACTGTGATATATAGTAGCTGTGATACATAGTAGCTGTGATATATAGTAGCTGTGAGATATAGTNCAAGGTTTGGTTTGGCGGATGGCCGGAGTACGGAGTATTCAACGGAGATACAATCTGTCGGAGACGACCTTTGAAACAGGGTTACATTAGGGATATGGTTCACAGATATATATAGTAGCTGCAGATATATAGTAGCTGTGAGATATAGTAACTGCAGATCTAGTAGCTGCAGATATATAGTAGCTGTGAGATATAGTAGTTGAGATATATTACTTGAAGTCTGTAGTTCAAAGAGCACTATAGGTGAGAAGATGAGTCAAACCTAAAGCTTGGTCTATTTGGGTATATGTAATCTTTATAGAGAGGAGGAACTTAGGAAGGGGAGGGGGAGGGGGCTAGTACCCAGATGCACTTGATAATAAAGCAAACTTTGAACTGGCGGGGGAGGCCGAGGGAAAGGGTTATTTGGTTCTGGAAAAATGTTTTTATCCTCAGAAGTAAAATGGGGGACACTGGAAAAGTCTATTACATTAAAGTAATTTATATCAGTTTTATAAACCTCTTGTTTGGCTTGTTACTTTAGAAGTTTTGTCTGTTCTATACTGTTTATGGGTATGCCAGATTATTCGATATTTCGTCGACGCCTAATCCGAAACAAGTGTCTACCATAAGAGTTAAAAAAGATGTCTAGGCTAACTGTGAAACATCCCAAGATATCTATCAGAACTAAAGCCCTGGCCTTTGTTGGTAACCTGGCTTTATAGAAATAAACGTCTACGTGACATATACGCTGATATTTGATACACCGTTATGTCGGTCATCCAAGTATAAACAATACGTAACTCTCAACTTTGAACTTTTGTCAATTATCGATTCAAAGAATGAAATAAGCCAGCAGCTTCACAGAAAATAGAACACATAACACACCCCGGAAGTTGCAAGTCTAATATCGTGTATCATTGCATAGAAAGGTCGAGTGAACCAAGAAAAAAGGAGAGTTTACGACCTTATTGACAAAAATGTACCACGCTATAAAACGCATTTTCATCATATTTTGAAATTTTATTTCATCTTTATTTCGAACATGTCTGCAACTAAACAAAGGAGTCTTTGCCACAAACCAATGTCATAGAACTTTCATATTTCAAACTATGAATTCTGTTGGATAAAATAATCTAAGTTTGAAATATTATAAGGTTACATAGATAAAGGGATTAGAAAATTTTAGTTTGTGGCAATTCCTTTCTGCCGCGTATTTTTGGAACCAGTTTGAGCGGTATACTATATACTGCGTATGGGTCATGGCCGTTATTTAACAAATATGACATGAAAAAAAAAACATAAATACGCATTCCAATTTGTCAACTAGTTTTTCAAAATGTTTGACATTTAAAGCATATTGATACACAGGCCAATGTTTGGATAGTTTTATGATTGTGAAAAAAAAATTAAAAAGTCTTGAGTCATAATTTCAAGAATGACGACATTTGAGATTTGAAAACTGTATTGCGTTTTTCCGTCATTATGATATATTTAAGAATCAACATTTATTCTAACTACAGCTCGTAGGGAGAGAATATTGCACATAGGAGAAGAATGGATTCATCATATTGGTTCTAGAAATTACTTAAAATTATTAACTTAGAGGTTATTTATCAACTTTAAATATTTATTACCTACATAGTTACAGCGTTACCCACAAAGGATGAGACTTCAGAGATGATTTTACAGAATCTATACTGTCTGGTTACTTACGAATTCCTTTTTAGAGTTTCCGGTCGTCTGTTCAGTCTTATCCTTTGTGGGTCACCCTGTAGATGTAGCTAAACAAACTAATAACAAGCTAATTAAACGGAAACGGGAGATTTATTATGTTAGTAACTTTTTATCCATATAATTGAATGCAATGAACCAACAGTTTTATAGCTCATGGTTCTAGGTTGTTCACAGTTCATGAGATCTAAACAGAATTTTAATGAGACTAAGGTTCAATTAAAACAATAATTAGAACACGCTCTGAATCAGAGTGCAAAAGCTTATTACATATATCACAAGAAGTTTAACCCTTTTTGTTCACAAAATAGAAATAAGATATATGATCTTCATTTACGTAAAAACTATAATTGAGATTGAAATTTAGTTTTTCATCCAATACAATATACATACTAGTAAAGCAAGACTAATTGTTCGAATTGTGGCATATATCTTCTATTTTAAATGCTAGTAAATCAAAATAACCTAAGCAAGATCACCCAAATAAATATTTGGTTTAAGCGAAGAATGAGATTTCCATCAAATTGAATAAATTGAATCCAAAGGAATTGAGTCTTTGCCACAAACTTCTGAATTTAAAATCCCTATATCTTTGGAATTCAATGTCGCAAATCTTTGATATTTCAAACTTACATTATTTGATATTACAGAATTCATAGTTTGAAATATCTAAGGTCTACGACATTGGAATCCAAAGATATAGGGTTTAGAAAAGTAGAGTTTGTGGCAAAGACTCAATTCCTTTGTAATTTTAATTAGGAATTATTTTAGTTATTTTTTTCTACTTTGGAATAGATTTGTAATAGAAAGACATGACCTTTTATCTGGTTGATATTTAGTAAATGAATTTAAACAATGTCCTCGGCATCTCCCGGGTCCACGGGTCAACCTAGGGGGCAGGTAGATATATACATATATATTTTATATAATTTTTATATGTATTTACATATTTACATTATTGTAAATGGGGTGGATCAAAAAGTTTGGCAAGTAAAGTTTTTGCTCATCTTTTATAGAAATTATCAACAATGTAAACAGTTCTTCTTTGATTAAAAAAAAGTATACGATAATTATTAAATATTTCATTTTTAACTCTGAATCTGATTGTGTTGTATGTGAATAAATTATATATATTAAATATGTCAGGCTTATCTCTGGTTCTGATTGTGTTGTATGCGAATAAATGCTAAATATTATATATTTCAGGTTTAACTCTGGTTCTGATTGGGTTGTATGAGTATATGATAAATATTATATATTTCAGGTTTAACTATGGTTCTGATTGGGTTGTATGAGTATATGATAAATATTATATATTTCAGGCTTAACTCTGGTTCTGATTGAGTTGTATGAGTATATGATAAATATTATATATTGCAGGTTTAACTATGGTTCTGATTGGGTTGTATGAGTATATGATAAATATTATATATTTCAGGCTTAACTCTGGTTCTGATTGAGTTGTATGAGTATATGATAAATATTATATATTGCAGGTTTAACTCTGGTTCTGATTGTGTTGTATGAGTATATGATAAGTATTATATATTTCAGGTTTAACTATGGTTCTGATAGAGTTGTATGAGTATATGATAAATATTATATGTTTCAGGTTTAACTATGGTTCTGGTTGAGTTGTATAAGTATATGATAAATATTATATATTTCAGGTTTAACTATGGTTCTGATAGAGTTGTATGAGTATTTAATAAATATTATATATTTCAGGTTTAACTATGGTTCTGATTGAGTTGTATGAGTATATGATAAATATTATATATTTTAGGTTTAACTCTGGTTCTGATAGAGTTGTATGAGTATTTAATAAATATTATATATTTCAGGTTTAACTTTGGTTCTGATTGAGTTGTATGAGTATATGCTGGAGATCTTACTAAACCTCGTGAAGCTGCCAGCACTGTCTCTATATTCAACAGGAATTCTTCCAAAACATTTCATCAAATAAAACGAAAACAGAAAAATTACAAGATTTGGTTTATATTTGGTGTTTCTGCAGTTTAGAGCAAATTTTTGGGTTTATTGAGGGGGTTTTCACAAACTGTCTTAACAGAAACATTTGATAGAAATAATAATGATCTTATCCCATTTTCTTCTTAAACACTCTTTTAAGTATAGTTTATAGTTGATTTAGTTAGGAAAAACAAGCCAGGGCTTTTAAAATCTACAAACAAACTGATAAATTTCTAAATATGATTCTAACTGCAGAAACAAAACCAAAATAAGCGTGTACTTGTACACTTTTGTAATGGTTTATGCATTTTGTAATACACCTCTTCCCTTTATTTACATCAAAATAAGGTAGCAAATAAATCCCTAAATTTGTTTTAATTATATTTACAATGATGTATTGCTCATGGAACATTTTGGTCATTCCGCTCTCATTGCCAAAAAATGAATAAACTATTTTACCTTTTGAAAATATACAATCTTTAAGTAATACTTTAATTTAGATATTTCAGCAAAATGTAGTTTAATGTAGACAAAATTATTTATATATTGTATTAAAGTTTGAAGAATCTAGGATTTGCTAATTAATGACTATCTGTCTATATGTCTATCTGTATCTAAACATAACTTAAAGCTTTAGGAAATCAATTTCAAATCAAGCAAACACCTTAAATAGTAGACCTATTTATTGATGTATGAGAGATGAAAACTAATTACTGATTATATTACTAATTGAAATTTGAAGGTTCTTTTTTTGAATTCACAACCATTAAATACATTTGAAAATAACTTTGTATAAATACTCTCAAGATTAGTAAATACATAGTTTGATGATTTTATTCTGATTTGAGAGTTTGCTGAATAAGTGCAGAGCAGAATGGGTCAGAATATATTCCTCATATTTGTTCTCACAGTTCTTACAGGTGGATGCTAGTTATAGCATACTTAATTTATCATTAAATTAATTATTGAAGCTTTCTCATATTTTAAGATATTTTAAAATCGTGAATTTCAAATGTATAAATTGTCTTGTTTCAAGGTAAATAATTTAATAAATAACTAATCCATTTATTTAATCTTCCAGAGTCTAAAACTAAAGAATGCGCGAATTTTAAGTTCGAGGTTAAAAGTTCTGTAAAATAATGAATAGCTATTTAAATATTAAACTTTCTCAATTTTTAATTTGAATTTCTCGGGAAAATCTGAACCAATCAGAGAAAAGGATTTACGGAGAATATTACATAACCATCGCTAATCAGCTGTTCTTACGTAACTGAAAACAAAACATACAACCGTTTTTTGGGTTTACATCCAGAAATTAATTTATCTAAAACGTGAAATTTCTTTAACAAGGTTTTCATTTTTTAATATATCGTAAAGTTGAATGCCGCTTCCTCAGCTGCAGCTGAATGATGATTGAATAATAGACAAATAGGGAAAATGCGGGATTTCTAGATAATTTAAACCTGTGTTTAAATTTTAACTCGTCGATTTCGGCGAGTTAAATATTTAACCACAGGGTTAAATATTTAACCTCACGGTTAAAGTTCAGGTTTAAATTAAGTCAGAAGTGGCATTTAACCATGAACTTAAAATTTAAGTCAAAACTTTTCGTTCTTTAGTTTTGGACTCTGGTTTCCATTGTATCCCCAGTGGAGGTCATCATGGTCATGATGGTGGTCATCAACATGGAACTCATGATAATGAAAATCCAGGAGAAGGAAATCAAATAGATCTTTCTGGAATATTTAATGAGCTAGGAATAAAGGTTTGTTCATATTCTAAGGAGGGAAAATAAATTTTAAAATTGAATATCAAGAAGTTGAGTCTTTGCCACAAAGTCAAAATTTATAGTTTCTATATCTTTGAAACCTTCCCTTTTTTCTAACCATTCTCTCCCTCCCCTTACATTATGCCTCCTCCCCCTCTCTCCGATCCTTTCTCTCACTCAATCTCTTTATATTCGACCCTACTCCTCTCTCCGAACCCTTCTCTCCCTTCCTTTATATCCCTTCTCTCCCTTCCTTTATATCCCTTCTCTCCCTTCCTTTATTTCCCTTCTCTCCCTTCCTTTATATCCCTTCTCTCCCTTCCTTTATATCCCTTCTCTCCCTTCCTCTTCCTCTCCCCTCCTTTATATCCGACCCTTCCTCTCTCCAAACCCTTCTCTCCCTTCCTTTATATCTGACCCTTCCTCTCTCCGAACCCTTCTCTCCCTTCCTTTATATCCGACCCTTCCTCTCTCCGAACCCTTCTCTCCCTTCCTTTATTTTCAACCCCTTCCTCTCTCCGAACCCTTCTCTCCCTTCTTTTATATCCGACCTTTCCTTTTCTCTCCAAACCCTTCTCTCCCTTCCTTTATATCCGACCTTTCCTTTTCTCTCCTAACCCTTCTCTCCCTTCCTTTATATTCGACCCCTTCCTCTCTCCGAACCCTTCTCTCCCTTCCTTTATATTCGACCCCTTCCTCTTTCCGAACCCTTCTCTCCCTTCCTTTATATTCGACCCTTCCTCTCTCCGAACCCTTCTCTCTCTCCCTTTACATCCTATCCCTCCTTCTCTTCTTACCATTCTCCCTCCCAAACCCTACGATCCTCTGAGTCATATGCTTTAAACTGATGGGAATAAATAAATAAAGTTTTGTTGATGTATTTGCCACGATCTCAGTTTTCAAGTTTCAACCATTCTATACTTAAATAGATTATATACTTTTATATTCTACAATCTACATATATGAATGAATATGTATATGTCACTGCAAACAATATGAGTCGTTATAAGTTAAATTCTTTTTTCCAAAAATGGTAACTCTTATTGCTCAGTATGCAAGTTCGAAAACTACGCACAATAATGTACAGGGTGTCTAATAGACAAAGGAATTTAGTTACGACTTCTATATCGTCTTTGTTCTGCGCGGTTTTATTATTTAAACAATTAACATGAAATTTGAAAATGTGGTTTACCTTTTTTGTACCTTCAAAATTGACGGAGATATTGAGAGATTTGTTCGGATTCCTATTTATTTCATAAAAACATTTTTTTTCAAATATTTGATATCTTTCTTAATATGAAAGATACTTTCCCTTGCCTGTCCTAGCTGCGGCGCTAAGTCCAGACATTTTCTAACCCTTACCTAGAACACTGGTCAAAGATAAATAGTTATCAAATGTCTTCTTCAGCATAACTTTTAAGCTTTCACATTTTAACTTGGGAAGGTATATACCTAGGTAAGGTTGGTAGATCGCATATACATAAAACTAGTAAATTATAGATGTTAGATATGCACGCGTTACTTTATGTGATTGACACTGAAGAATTGTTAAAATTTTGTATAATTGTATTTGTGTAGTTAATGTTTAATCTGGTGGCGTTAAATGCGTTGTTCAACACAATCTAAAATCACCTCTGTAAACTGTAAACTGTAAACTGTAAACTGTAAACTGTAAACTGTAAACTGTAAACTGTAAACTGTAAACTGTAAACTGTAAACTGTAAACTGTATACTGTAAACTGTAAACTGTAAACTGTAAACTGTATACTGTAAACTGTAAACTGTAAACTGTAAACTGTAAACTGCAAACTGTAAACTGTTGTATACTATATACCTAATATACGGATATCATTCACAGGGAACATATGCATTTTTCTCCTTACACTTGATTAAACATTTTCCAGTTTTATCCTGTAGTTAAGGGACACTGTATTTGTTTGAGCTTGCAGATTAAGTTCAAAACTCGATATATACCCTTACTCTTGATCTTAAGTTCTTGGTTCCGATTAAGTATTAAACCTCTATAAGTTTAGGTTCTGGGAAAAGATCAGGAAAGTGCAGATGAAAAATCTCCAGTTCAGGATCACAGTCAGATCAATTTTAAAGTAAGTTCATTACAAAATAATTAATATGTACTGAAAGCTTAATAATTATTTATTCAATGTTAAAGATAGATCAATATCAAATAAGCTTTGTATTCTATGACTAGCTTTTCAGGTAATGATGCTGATTTTTTTTCATTCATCATAAAACTAAAATAGTTAGCAGATTTTCTGTTTTAATTGTGGATTTTTAAAGTTTAAGCGTTTATTGGATGCTAACAAACAAACAGACAAGCCAAAGATACGCTTGATTAATCAGTAATCAGTTAAAAACATCATATCAACAGTACCCAAATTATCATTTAAAATTTAACTAATTATCATACCTGACATAAGACAAAGCCGTATAAATTTTTTGCATTCAGAAATGAAATCGGTCTTATGGAGTCCCATAAAGTCTTTGTCTTTTTTCAGACTTTTTTACCATATTTAAATAGTCTATATTTGTTAATAAAGGAGATATATGACAATAATATACATAAAAAAACATGTATTTTAATATTTTTAAATAAGTGTGTTTATGCCCCCCCCCCCGTTCACCCTCCCACCCTCGACCGAATATATGTACAGACAGACTACAAATTGAATATGAATTCGCTGTTAAAGATTGCACTCGTGATACTCTTAAAACACTCATCAAACTCAGTTTGTAACACATATACAATCAACCTCACAGGAGATACACGGATACACGGATACAGGGTACAGCATCAAATATATACAGAATTCAGGTTTTATGAATAAAGGATACAAACTGAGATTCAGATACAATAATAAAACAACAATGAAAAAGAAAAAAAGGCATTCATAATCATACACCAAAGCTTCTAAGATTTCAGTATAATTTTGTGTTTACGTTCTTTAAACGTATAAACTGTGTACATAAAAGTTATGTGAAGACTGTACACTGTACAGTGAACACGTGACACATGTACAATTAGTGAGTACTGTACACCTACAAATATATATAAGTAAGTATGGATAAATTCCTGAAAGACATGTAAGAGAAAACTGCAAACATGTTAAACCATCTTAAGGATGAGTGAGTACACTATACAGTGTATACTTACATACATATATAGCTCTCTGAATCATTTAGCGGATTATAATTCTACTGCACGATTTACAAATCGCCAGCTTCATAATCCATCACTTCTGTTTAAAAGGAGTTAGCAAGAAAGATTGACACCAGCAACCTGAAAATATGTATGTACTGTACTGCACTGTTTACATTTTAATCAAGGAAAACTATAAAAGGATAAGTTTTGCGAAGCAAAACTATTCTTATTAGAATATAAAGAGTTACAACAGACACATAAGCTGTTCTACTGTAAACTGCTTATTTTTTCAACGTTTACGATCTATTTTTCTGTGTTTTACAACTGCATTTGTCAACAAAATACGCATTTTATTTATGCTACACTTTATACTTCATACTTCTACTCTGTAAGCTTAAACTGCTAAGTTAAAGTACACAGTGCAGGCCATGAAATATTATTTTCAGGAAGTTGTCAAAAATTATAAGAGAAGAGAATGGGTGGGGGGAACGAAAAAGAGAGGAAGAAGAGACCGGGGAAGGTGGTTACTTCCAAATAAATAACGATGAAAAAAAATTGTAAAAGTTCAAAAAGTTTTATCTGATAGAAAAGTAGAAATCGTCCTGTTGTTACCGACCAAAACTCAATGAAATGGACTAAGTTTTCGATTTTTTTCGTTTCGTTTTGGTGTATAATATAAAAACATTATAAATATGTTTTAAGTTTAAAAAATCAAATTAGTTGAGTAATGTTTGACTCTCCTGAACCGAACAGAATATCCTGGATTTACCATAACATTGTGTCCTCGTTAAAGCTTAAATTTGAACCTCCATACCTTTTTTATTTGAATCGTCTGCTCCATACCTTTTCTATTACTTTTACCTTGCACCTCAATATAATCTTTAGTAATTCAAGAATTCCATCAACAATTGAGAGTTTTCACCCTTTATTATTGAACTTAAGTTTCAAACTCAAATTTTCTAATCCCAAAATCTTTGCTGCCTGATGGTGTGGACCTTTAATATTTCAAACTTAGACTATGTGATCTTACATAATTCATAGTTTGAAATATCTAAGCTATACGACAATGAGTTGCAAAATATAGGGATTAGAAAATCAGAGCTTGTGACAAATATTCAATTCCTTTGTTTAGCTAGTCTGAACTATACTAACCCAAAAGTCACTTTTCTCGCAATATCGGGACCGTGTTTCCTAAATCTTTGTATACACCTCATTCATAATCAGTATCAGTAGCCCAATTGGTTTAGTCGTTTTTCTTTTGGATACAAACTAACCAATGTAGAATCCAAATAAAAATTGCATTTATAAAATGTTTTAGGCGGTGATATCGGAGATATTACACCCCAGCACGTTTTCTCCTCCCGTCTCTACAACAACAAAACCTATCTCATCAACACAGAAACTTCCAATCAAATCTCACAGGTAAACAGATTGTCTAAACATTTTGAGTGATCAAAATATATAAATCTTGCTGAAATAGATATAAAGTTTAACTAATGGAACATTGGCACAGTTAGCTGAGAAACATTCATTCAACATTCTTTATCTACTTTTTCCTCATCATCCCTCTTTTACTCTTCTACTCATCCCTCCTTCCTTTTATATACTCATCCTTCCTTCCACCTTTTTACTCATCCCTCCTTCCTCTTCTATACTCATCCCTCCTTCCTCTTTCCTCCTCTATACTCATCCCTACTTCCTCCTCTATACTCACCTATCCTTCCTCCTCTATACTCATCCCTCCTTCCTCCTCTATACTCATCCCTCCTTCCTCCTCTATACTCATCCCTCCTTCCTCCTCTATGCTCATCTATCGTTTCTCCTCAATACTCATTTATCGTTCCTCCTCTATGCTCATCTATCGTTTCTCCTCAATACTCATTTATCGTTCCTCCTCTATACTAATCCCTCCTATCTATCCCCCTCCCTCCTATCGATCCCCCCTCCCAACCCCCTAAACTCAATACTCCCCTCCATGTACCATGTACTATTCTTGTATCCTTGTATCCCAAAACACTCAACTTCATATCTTTTATTTCCGAATTTAAAGTTCTATCCCAATACTACGAATTACGTAGATAGACCAGCCTTCAACAAAGCCTTGAAATATTTTCTCACCAGAAAAAAACAAACAATTTACCTATCACACTCACAAGTTTCACATGAGCTTCGGGTAAAAATACAATTGAAAGTGTAGAGATTGTGAAATAAATGTTTTGTTGGTTTTTTTTTGATGGATCATAATTTAATCTGATCAAACTTACTTTCACGAATTGTCATAACCTTTTTAAAAAAATATTTAAACAATGAGAGTTATTTTCAAATTTTTTTTTTTTAAATTACAAACTCTGATTTTTAGCAGATTTAACTAGTTAGAAATTATATGCTGACAGATTCTACAAGTCAGAAACTATATACTAGCAGATTAAACTAGTAAGGAACTAAATGATAACAGATTTAACTAGTTAGGAACTATATACTAGCAGATTAAACTAGTAAGGAACTATATGCTGACAGATTCTAGTAGTCAGGAACTATAAATTAGCAGATTAAACTCGTAAGGAACTATATGATAGCATATTCAACTAGTTAGGAACTACTTACTAGCAGATACAAATAGTAAGGAACCATGTATACTAGAAGATACAACTAGTTAGGAACTGTTTACTAGAAGATACAAAAAATAAGAAACTGCATACTAGCAGATTAAATTAGTTAGGAGCTGTATACTAGCAGATTCAATTATTTAGGAGCTGTATACTAGCAGATTCAATTAGTTAGGAGCTGTATACTAGCAGTTTCAACTAGTTAGGAACTATATACTAGCAGATACAAGTAGTTAGGAACCTTATACTAGCAAATACAACTGGTAAGGAAATGTATGATAGCAGATTCAACTAATTAGGAATTATATACTAGCAGATTTAACTATTGATAGGAACTATATACTAGCAGATTTAACTATTTAAGAAATATATATTAGCAGATTTAACTGGCTAAGAACTATATATTAGCAGATTCAACTAGTTAGGAACTATATACTAGCAGATACAATTAGTTAGGAACTGTATACTAGAAGAAACAACTAGTTAGGAACTATATACTAACAAATACAAATAGTTAAGAACTATATACTAGCAGATACAACTAGCTAAGAACTATATACTAACAGATCCAACTAGTTAAGAACTATATACTAGCAGATCCAACTAGTTAAGAACTGTATACTAGAAGATACAACTAGTTAAGAACTATATACTAGCAGATACAACTAGTTAAGAACTATATACTAACAGATCCAACTAGTTAAGAACTATATACTAACAGATACAACTAGTTAAGAACTATGTACTAACAGATACAACTAGTTAGGAACTATATACTAACAGATACAAATAGTTAAGAACTATATACTAGCAGATACAACTAGTTAAGAACTATATACTAGCAGATATAACTAGTAAAGAATATATGCTAGCAGATACAACTAGTTAAGAACTATATATTAGCAGATTCAAATAGTTAGGAACTATATACTAGCAGATACAACTAGTTAAGACCTATATACTAGCAGATCCAACTAGTTAAGAACTATATACTAGCAGATACAACTAGTTAAGAACTATATACTAGCAGATACAACTAGTTATAGATCCAACTTGTTATTTGTTTCAGCTTTCAATATTCAGTGGATAAAAAGTTGATCCTTTGAACTTACTTCATCTTAACGTTTCATTTTCTTTTAACGAGCCAAATCATATATATATACAATATTTTATAATTAAAAGTACGTTGTATTTTGTACACTTTACAGTGCACAGTCCTAAATTACAGTTTCATATTTATTAACCCCCGCCCCCTCCATAAAAATGGAACCCTCCCGCTCTTTTTAAAAAAAATCTCAGACTGTTTTTCTGTTCCTATAAAATTGTGTAAATGCAGTGTATACCCTAGACTTTTGGTTAATTTTGAGTTCTGAAGCTAAACTAACACCGCTCATCATATGTTGGGTTTAAACTACACACTGCTCTTTTTCTTGATATGACGACTCAAAAAAATTTGTATTCTCTTGGTCAATACAATTTGCTTGATTAAACAAGGTTTTGGTGTTATCTGATACTTAGCACTACTGCATACTTACAGTAAATAAAAAAATGCTGATGCATCTACCTATACTTTGCACAGAGTTACTTACAAGAGATAAACTTTAAACATGTTTTAAAAATAAATATTTGAAGGTTATATCCTATCTTTTGTTTGAAAAATCCAAACGAGCAAATGTGAATTGTATTAGTGTTTTGCAGAGGAGACGTACCTCTACTATATTATGATAGAACTGCTACAGCATGTATTTAATGATATTATGAATAGGATTAATAATAAAATGTTTTGCAGAGGAGACATACCTCTACTATATTATGATAGAACTGCTACAGCATGTATTTAATGATATTATGAATAGGATTAATAATAAAATGTTTTGCAGAGGAGACATACCTCTACTATATTATGATAGAACTGCTACAGTATATATTTAATGATATTAAGAATAGGATTAATAATAAAATGTTTTGCAGAGGAGATATACCTCTACTATATTATGATAGAACTGCTACAGCATGTATTTAATGATATTAAGAATAGGATTAATAATAAAATGTTTTGCAGAGGAGATATACCTCTACTATATTATGATAGAACTGCTACAGCATATATTTAATGATATTATGAATAGGATTAAAAATAAAATGTTTTGAAGAAGGTAGTAGAGTGTAGAGTATAGCCTAAAAATATGATAATTTAATAACAGTTTTGAGACATTAACAACGCCTTAAATACTTTTATAAAAAAAGTTCGATTGTTAGGTTTATCCAATTTTATGACAAATTATTTTTCAATGACATGATTTCCATCTAGTTTTTTTTGTTGGATTAGTTCTATCAAGTAAGCTAAATTACATAAAATACATATCTATAAGGACCTTCTATTATTTTTTTCTCTGTGTTTTTTATTATTTTTTCCTCACAATTTTATACTCTATAGTTGATGAGTAAAAGATGAGACTTTACTTTATTGCTTAATGCTTACCCCATGCACACATTTTAGTTTATAACTGCAGTCTGTGGTGGTTGTCTAGTTCCACTTCTGTACCATATAATGTTTATTGTACAAGCCGCACACTAGGTTAAAAATACAGATTTTCAACTTGAAACTAAGTACAGAGCGTAACCTAGATGGTACCCAGCCTAGGTAACCAAGCAATAAAATGAATTTATCACAAGGGCGCTAAGTTTAGATATTTTGAGTAGAACTGCAATAATAAACAGAGTGTCACAAAACAATAAACACCATGTTTGTCTAATACAGGGGTTTCCAAAATTGTGTTCCCCTTGTTTGTACAGAATGTTCCAAAAAATAATGAAATAAAGTGACAACATAAAAGAATAGAAGAAAACAGATGCTTAAAGGGAGTGACCGTCTATGCAAGGTAGTTGAACTGAGTATACAGTGTTGTGGAAAACTTCTTTCGGATTCATTTGAGACATATTAAACTTTTTAAAGATCTGTAAATCCTGAGTTTGAGTGCAAATTCGACATTCAAAACTCCTACTTTGGGGGTGGATACGTTTTCAGAATTAGTTTCTTTTTAATTATTAAATAACGACAACGAAAAATAAAATAAAAATTATACAGTAATCTAATTTGATGGCTAGGAACATATTTCTCAAAAGAAATTTGTCAAAAAATCAATGCTAAAATCGATTATTTCGTTTTTATTATTATATTGAATTTCTTATCTTCTTTGAATTTATTCGTAGATTTCTTCAAATTCTTCAAATGTCGTCTTTTCAATAATAGTTCTAGAAAATCTGCGAAAATCTTTGTGAATAATGAGAAACCGGAATAATGTGAAAATAGAAACTAATAATTGAACAAGATTACTTATTTTCGATGATAAGTATCTCAACATGTTCCTATACATGACGTCTGTAGTTTATTGTAGAACTTTTTTTTACATTTTATGTCGTCGTTATTTTATAATTTAAAAAAACTAATTCTGATAACGTATCCACCACACCCCCAAAGTAGGAGTTTTGAACATTATCTCAGACAGAAATAATAAAAAAATGCAAAGAAGTAAACGAAAAATGAGAGAAAGAAGGAAATCGGTCTAAAATTGGTGTTGAGCAAAGATAATATATATATAGATATGCAGGCAGGTAGAAACCTCCTTCCTAAATTGCTTGTAGCAGACAACTAATTTTTGAAACTCAGAGAAAAGGTGCAAGGAGAGACATCTATAGCAAATTGATTACTTTCTATATCCCCTTCTCCCCTTGCTGCCTTCTGTAGGAAATACGCATTTGTGTTATAAAAACATACAGTAAGCGTATTGCATCCTGTTTAGTTCAAGTGTTGCTATCTGGACCTGTTTGACCAATAAAATTAAATTTCAAGGTAACACAAACATACAGTACGCGTTTTATTTATGTTATGATCAGATCAGTTGTAATTTGTCCTAGATTCGATGTACTTTTATAGTAATAATTTTTATTTAAATTGCGTTAATATACATATGCCATTCAGTACAACTTGCACATTTAAACTTTGTCTAGTCAAATTCCTACCTCAGTTTTATTTGCATTGATTAATTTGTTTCATTAAGTACAATATGCAGTATACATTGTTGATACTATAGTACGCATTTAGTGTTATCACGCATAAACAAAGTGATAAATTAGCAACAATCCAGAGGATAAAATGCCATGCGTACGACAGAGATGGTGCTGTTTGCACCTTTTCTCAAGACCTCTAAATTTATACCTGCCTGCATATCTATATATATATTATCTTTGGTCTTGAGTCATTAATGTTGACCCTGCAGTGTGCCTCTGTATTACATGTTTATAATTGCTTTCTAATATTTGTGCCCCCCCCCCCTTGAAAACTTCCTAGCTAATTTTGTTGCAAGATATTAATAGATTCAGATGAAAATAAAACACGACTAAAAAAGTCGACACTCTTTTTACTTTTTTATTGGTATCCAAAATTGTGCATCGAAAAATTAAAAAAGTAGCTTCGCAGACGTAGTTCAATCCCTTCTATTCTCATGGGTTCAATCGTTGCTTGATCCGAATCAGTATTTAACGGTCTAGTGTAATCGTACTGCACAGTGCACACACATTTACCACCCTGAGTCTAGTGAACCCAGCATCTACGCTGTTCAACCATTCATAAAATCTGGTTCAGTTTAAATATAAGTAAATTTATATTAATTATAATATTTAGGGAGGGATGGTTTGAGTCTCCTGTAGCTCTGGTTTTAAACAATCAAGTTCTGGAACCTGTATATGATCAGGTAATCAATACTCTAGTTCTGAAACCTGTTTATGATCAGGTAATCAATATTCTAGTTCTGGAACCTGTTTATGGTCAGGTAATCAATATTATAGTTCTGGAACCTGTAAAAGATCAGGTATTGGTTGGTTGGTTGAATTAACATGGTTTGGTTGGTTGAATTAATGTTAAAGGTTAAATTCAAATGATTTAGTTGGATGCATTAACATAGTTTGGTGGGTTGAATTTATGGGTTGGTTGGTTGAATACAAATAGTTTGGTTGGTTGAATTTCTGGTTTGGTTGGTTGAATTAAATTGGTTTGGTTGGTTGAATTTGGATAGTTTGGTTGGTTGAATTTTAGTCGTTTGGTCGGTTGATTTTAAGTGGTTTGGTTGATTGAATTTAAGTGGTTAGATGGTTGAATTTAAGTGGTTTGGTTGGTTGAATTTAGATAGTTTGGTTGGTTGAATTTTAGTGGTTTGGTTGGTTGAATTTAAGTGGTTTGGTTGGTTGAATTTGGATAGTTTGGTTGGATGGGCGAGGAATGAGAATGAGCATCTATGAATGTAAGATGTTTTTGTATATTTAATATATTTGACATGTAAACTGTAAAAAGTTGAAGGAATGTTGTGAACAATAAAATAACAAATCAATCAATGTCCAGCTACTAATAGTTTCTTTGACATCTCCCTCCTTCCATCTATTCATTCATCCATTCATTCATTCACCTATTCACCTATCCATAAAAATTTAAACCCTCTTCCTTTTAAAGGAAAAGTCAAGATATAAATTATAAATGTTTTTATTATATCATAAAGGGTTAGCCACAAAAGCCGTGATGAGCATTTAATGACAACCAAATTTTTTTAAATTCAAATAGACAATGGTTTAACTTTATAAACTGTAACTGATAAGGACATTCAACGACATATGCCATTATTTTGCAAAGAAAGAAGCATGTACAAAACTGCATGAAACCGGAAACATAATAAAACATTTTAGGAAAATTCAGAAGTGTCTCTGAGGTCTTTTTTTGTGTGATTAACCCTGTTTCTGCCAGAAATACTTCACCCGTACACTTAAACCACCTTTCTTAGTTGTATGCAGGGTCACCCACAAAGGATAAGATTTCAGAGACGACTGTTCGGATTTTTAAAAGTCGGCATTTTCGTAATTCATGGTTCTCCGCAGCGTTTCACTTTCAAATCGTTTAAATTTCCACTCAAAGACAATTTTCAGGACACAACAGCAATATAGACCTTCGAGCGGTTTAAAGAGTATTCAGATCGTCATTAAAGTCTCATCCTTTTTGGATAACCATGCATCTACAATTTGTATTTGATGAATGTTAATTCAATTCATCTTGTATGTACTGTATAATATGTACCGTGTAATGTACCGTTTATGCAAACTTGTATGTACTGTATAATATGTACCGTGTAATGTATTGTTTATGCAAACTTGTATGTACTGTATAATATGTAACGTGTAATGTACTGTTTATGCAAACTTGTATGTACTTTATAATATGTAATTGTACTGTTTATGCAAACTTGTATGTACTGTATGATATGTTACGTGTAATGTACTGTTTATGCAAACTTGTATGTACTGTATAATATGTAACGTGTAATGTACTGTTTATGCAAACTTGTATGTACTGTATAATATGTTTCGTGTAATGTACTGTTTATGCAAACTTGTGTGTATTATATAATATGTAATTGTACTGTTTATGCAAACTTGTATGTACTGTATAATATGTAACGTGTAATGTACTGTTTATGCAAACTTGTATGAATATAATTATTTAATGTCTATGCACCATTTAAATATGTAGACTCTATCAGACGGTACTGGTTTATATTTGTACTTGTCTGACTTTTGTACTGGTCCGACGTTTGTACTGATTCATGACAGTGCATTTTGGATCATGATTGTACTTTCTTAGGAGATATCTTCAAGTACACCGAGAACAGTTTACTTAACTGAGACTCCATACTTCAAGAGTTCACAAAGTACAACACAGTTTAAACCTCTAACAGACACATTTCAAAGGTTGGTTTATAATAAAACTTAAAGAGAGAATTCGATATTTTATTTGAAGTTTAATTTTGTTTTTATTTCAAATCCCATGTGTATGAGCTAAATGAACCATCATAAACGAATCTAAAAATTGTTTGTGTGTTTATGCTCGTCCGCTTCATCAGGGAAATCTTGGTTTTCTCTTATCTTTTTTAGAAATATTATTTGGAAATAAAATCTTCCAGTTTAGATGAACCCATCATCAACTATTCAATGTAACTGGAAATTTAAATAAAATAATAATAAACTGAGCTAAAAATGTGTTTTCCCAAGTGACAATTGCCCAAGTACCAACTTCCCAAATGTGAAATTTCTCAAATGGCAAAATCCCTAAAGTTAGGTTAGGCCTTCTGTGGCGCCATAGGCTGCAATTGGAGGGCCAAGCACTGTTTCTAGGATGGGCTGAGGGCCGAGCGCTGCGGTTAGAACAGGCTAGGAACCGTACGTCAAGTCTAAGCCAGACTTGGGAAATTGCCGCTTTGGAAATTCCACAGTCTGGAAGTTGCCACTTGGGAGGTTGCCAATTGGGATAAAACCTTTGGGAAAGTACCTAACATCCCTCAAAATTGCATGAGATCCTTGCTGTGTAAGAATGTAATGTTTTATTTCTTGAAATATCATGATCTTGTAGACACTCTGTTCTCCAGTAGTACTGGTAAAATACCTTGCCTCACGAGACATGACGAATTAAAGAATTGATTTGAATTGATCGGATTTGTATTTGAATACCATGTCACGTCTGGTTGGATGATAATAGTTCTGTGTATGAGTAAATGTGATGGATAATCTCAAAGACTAAACTTTTCAAGAAATAAATTGCGATTAGCTGCAGAGCTGGCCCCCTGCAGTCTATCCTAGCTGCGGAGCTCGACATAGAAATTGTTTTAACCTAAACATACGAAAAAATATTTTACTAGATTCATCATATGGCTTTCCTTAAGACTTTTCAGACAATTGAAATCTTTCAACGTGGTTTTTNTCTTAATTGAGTCCAATTAGTAAACATGCTCAGACTTGCTTGGTTTAAAGATATTAGCTTATTTCTACATTTTCGAAGAAGGTTAAGTTGGGCGTCTAGTAAAATAAGATCTTTGACTTAGATTAGTCTAACATTTATATGCTCCATCATCTAGATCTTCAACCAACATTCAGAATTCTTCATTAGATAGATAGATAGATAGAGAAATATGTGTATAGGTGTCCCAAATGAAATGCTCTTCTTGGGCGCTAATCGTGGTTATATCTATATATAAATTTGGCTTGTCTGTCTGTTTGTCTTGGTGTCTGTCTGTCTGTTTGTATCCAATAAACGTCAAAACGGCTGAACCGATCGGGCCCAAATTTTTTGTGGGACCTCACGTGACCACAGGGAAGGTTTATGAATGATCAAAATTTCAAATATTTGTCTCCATCAAAATTCGATCGTCATTAAATTTTTGAAAATTTTGAAAATCCGCGAAATTTTTTTGTGAAAATCCGCGAATTATTTTTGTTTTGTTTTACGATGTAGATAAAGAGAACATGTTCACAATTAATTTAGAAGATGGGCGCGAAGCGCCCTCTAAGGCTAGTTTTCAAAATAATGCCCAAGCATAAAAGCTAAAGGTAACATTTCCCAGTTAATAAAAAAACTTGTTTTCAAGGAGGTCTGCCGATATTGATTTGATGACTGGAAACCTAGAAAATCTATTAACAAACAAGAAGTTAATGCCTGTTGTAAACACAAGGTATTTTTCTTAAAAAATGCTTATACTGTTTGTCTGTATATATCAGTCGTCAGCTTTCACTAAATTTAGTGTATTTTTTATCTGCTAAACTGCTCTAAAAATGACTAATTCTGTATCGAGATGGGCGAATTACCGTGTTGCTAACAGAAGAGGAAGATCCCATAAAGTAGGAATTGGTTCAACAAGAGTGAGAAACAAGGAAAACCAGGTATTCTAGATATTCATTATTATAATAAAGGAAATGCATTTATCCAAGACAATTCATTAGATCTAGGCTTTACTCTAACCAAGATGTGCACAACCTCACGCAAATATCAAGCAGTATTTTTCCAATTACTCCTTTTATACTAAGCTTGAAAGAAGCGCGTTACACAACTTGCAATTTTAAAATGTATATATCTAGGGCTACATAAAGTATAATTGTGAGTTGGTGAGGTAAAACCAATTAGGGCAAGGCGTTGCGTTTAATGAATAATTTTCAAAGTTGTCTAGATCTTAGTGGATTAAAGACAGATTTATCTGCAAGCCTGTAGGCTCTAGCTTTCTTTTTGGTAGAATTTTAAATAAAATCTCAAAAATATTTTATAAAGGTAAAATTTTGGGGCCAATCTGATTACCATAGTCGTTTAGGGATTCACAATCGGATTACCATAGTCGTTTAGGGATTCACAATCGGATTACCATAGCCGTTTAGGGATTCACAATCGGATTACCATAGTCGTTTAGGGATTCACAATCTGATTACCATAGTCGTTTAGGGATTCACAATCGGATTACCATAGTCGTTTAGGGATTCACAATCGGATTACCATAGCCGTTTAGGGATTCACAATCGGATTACCATAGCCGTTTAGGGATTCACAATCGGATTACCATAGTCGTTTAGGGATTCACAATCTGATTACCATAGTCGTTTAGGGATTCACAATCGGATTACCTTAGTCGTTTAGGGATTCACAATCTGATTACCATAGTCGTTTAGGGATTCACAATCGGATTACCATAGTCGTTTAGGGATTCACAATCGGATTACCATAGTCGTTTAGGGATTCACAAAAATCTGGTGAAGGAAAACTTATTGACGATTTACAATTTACAGGTGCTAAAGGATGGACGACGATTTGGGGAAACACTGTCTTCTTCTCCTAGAGTCTCAAATCTACAGAAGTCCTCAAGAAGATCTAAGTCATCTAAGGTTAGCTAATATTAAAAGAAATTGAGTCTTTCCAACAAACTCTGAATTACTAATCTCTATATCTTGGCAACCCAATGTCGTAGAGCTTTGATATTTCAAAATATGAATTCTGTTAGATCAAAATGTGTAAGTTTGAAATATTATGTTGTCCAAATATAGGAATTAGCGAATTTGAGTTTGTGGCAAAGATCTCAGTTCCTTTAGAACACAAATAATACCCATGTTGAAGCTCGAAAAGTCAACATTATAATGTGGGGTGGGGGGGGGGGGGGCANCATCCTTCAACCTCCTTCAATAAATCATCAAAATATGTTCTCCTCCAAATCACTCCTCCTCTCGTCCCCCGTTCAAAATTCCCCCTCCCCCCTCCTTCTTCCCCCCATTTCAGATCATCATGATCCAAGCCATGATGTTCCTAGTCGGAGTAAAACTAGACCTAGAGCTGGTCCGACTCATCAGATCAGAACTAGACCCGGAGCCCAGGACCTACATCAACAGCATGAGATGGATCAGGCAAATGTTCAAATAGTTTTAAAAAGCAAGTTTGAAATTTAAAAATGTTAAAACTGCTATAAAGATCTGTATAGACCTTTATTATTCCTTAATCTGTTTCTTTGAAATAAATAACATTCTATCTTTTTTAAAATTTCACAACCTTGGCTTAAAAGCAACTTGGGGATTTCCACAGTGTAGGAAAAGAAAAAAAGGAGTCATTTAAGTTAAATAAAGCACTGAATTATAAACCATTTAAAAATATATAGGATACAGAGCAAAGTGAATCATTTAAACTACTTTTTATTTGAAGAGCAACTAAATATTTTATTCCTATTACAATTACTAGCAGAAAACAATCAGGAAAGTTATCTAAATTTGAAATATTTGTTCTCCAGGAAAAATGGCTTGCAATTCCAGGCATGAAAAGGTAATAAAAGTATTTAAAAGAAATATCTCTATCTCAAGAAGGTTGAACAAGTTTCCTTGGTTTTCCAAAAGACTGAAACATGATTTTGGTGTATCATACGTGCTACTATAACTAGGTCAGAAACGATTTAAATATAGTTTTTAAGATTTCTGATGTTTAAGTAAAAAGTTAGCTTTTGGCATATATACGAGTTTCTTCATACGTACTTCTTATATAATCGTCTTGTCTGCTTAAACCATATCATATCATCGGGTAAATATCCGGTGCTAAAATATCTTAATAGAAAGATATTTCTTCATTTTTCTGTCTAGAATCACACCAACAACTGATCTAGAAGATTCTAGAACCACACCAACAACTGGTCTAGAAGATTCTAGAACCACACCAACAACTGGTCTAGAAGATTTGATAAATGAAGTTTTTACAAACCCTTCTAAGCACAACAGCCAGGGTTCACAACAGCACAGTAAGGTTCAACAGCAAATCCACGAGAATGCTCTTAGACAACAACATCGTAGAAAAGAGAAATCCTTCGGAGCCCATCAACTAGTTGAACTGGTTCACCAGGAGCTAGAGGATCACGCTGAACCTCAGATTGGTCTTCCTTCAAGATTTCTACAAAAAGAATTTTACATGGTAACCTTGTATTTATAAACTGACTTATTTGCGTTATAATTCATATCTATATACAAAATATTTTTTGAGGGAACTCGGGAATGTTCTTAGTTTGATTTAAAAGTTCTAAGTTGACTTGAATAAGGAAAAATAGTTAAAATCGTAATTTCAGACCAAGTGCGGGTAAATTTGTAAATGTTAAACTGAAAAATCTCTAAAACTGTTCTGGGCACCAATAAAACATTTACTAACAATGGAAATTTAACAAAGACGACAATAATTACGCTTCACACTCGTACTCGTAATTTCTGTAAATATTAAATTTAAAAACCTGTTGTAAACATGATTTTTCAAACAAATTTAAAAGCTTTGGTCACTTTAAAAGAACTTAATCGTTAGACTTCTAATATCTAGGAGATTAATCGTTATACTTCTAATATCTAGGAGATTAATGGAGATGATGATCTTGATGAAGGTGACATAAAGAAGATTGATGGGTTAGATTTACACACTGTTAAAGATATAGTGGAAAACAACTTATGGAGGTAAATTTTTTATTTTCTATTCTTTTCTCTTTTTTATTGAATCAAGTATTCTATCAATTTGTATTATTTTATTAAATCAGTTAAATTAAATGAACAAAAAATAAAAAAATATAACCAATAGATGGGACGCAGATGAAGGTCATGAGCAGATTTTTGAGAAACATAAAAGTAAGTTTATTTTGTTTTGTAGAAAAAAGCATGAAATCAAAAATTATTCAAAGCAAAATAAGTTAGACGCATTCTCTCCTTACAGAGAAAAATAGTTTATCTCAATATTTCCATTTAAAAGATTTGATTATATAGAGAACTTTTTAATTATGCCATTTTTTTGTTTGTTTAAATATTATATATTGTAGATATTATATAAATTATTATGGAATTATGTAAAAATCGTTAATTGTTAAAGGGTAATTGTTTAAAAAATATGGTTTCCAGAACATGGTTTCAAGGATATGGCTTCAAAGTATTGGTTTCAAGGAAATGGTTTCAAGGATATGGCTTCAAAGTATTGGTTTCAAGGATATGGCTTCAAAGCATTGGTTTCAAGGAAATGGTTTCAAGGAAATGGTTTCAATGAAATGGTTTCAATGAAATGGTTTCAAGGAAATGGTTTACAGGATATGGTTTCCAGGATATGGTTTCAAGGATATGGCTTCAAAGCATTGGTTTCAAGGAAATGGTTTCAAGGAAATGTTTTACAGGATATGGTTTCCAAGATTTGGTTTTAAGGATTAGGTTTCAAGAATATTAATTCAAGGATATGGTTTCAAAGCATTGGTTTCAAGGAAATGGTTTCAAGGAAATGGTTTCAAGGAAATGGTTTCAAGGAAATGGTTTCAAAGCAATGGTTTCAAGGAAATGATTTCAAGGAAATGGTTTACAGAATATGGTTTCAAGAATATGGCTTCAAAGCATTGGTTTCAAGGATATGGTTTCAAGGAAATGGTTTACAGGATATGGTTTACTGGATATGGTTTCCAAGATTTGGTTTCTAGGATATGATTTCAGGGAAATGGTTTCAAGGAAATGGTTTCAAGGAAATGGTTTCAAGGACATGGTTTCAAGGAAATAGTTTCAAGGAAATAGTTTCAAGGACATTGTTTGAAGGAAATAGTTTGAAGGAAATAGTTTAATGGTTTCAAGGAAATGGTTTCAAGGAAATGGTTTCAAGGACATGGTTTCAAGGAAATAGTTTCAAGGAAATAGTTTCAAGGACATTGTTTCAAGGAAATAGTTTCAAGGAAATAGTTTCAAGGACATGGTTTCAAGGAAATAGTTTGAAGGAAATAGTTTCAAGGAAATGGTTTCAAGGACATGGTTTCAAGGAAATGGTTTCAATGGATTATGCACTTTTTTGTGCAATTTGAGGGTAAACTAAGTAGCCTATTAGCAATTCATTTGTATTAGTCGTACTTATAAAAAGCAACTGTGGACGAAGAAAAAGCCGATTTTTTGTTCAGAATTCCGGCGCAAAGGTATGGTACCTTTCCATTTACAATAGTTGATGCTTTTTCTTACGGATAAAAGAAATTTCAGATAATAAATTAAACTGAAGTAACTAATAGTAAATTGTAAATATCTTTAATTTTTTCAAAGTTATTTAAAAATTGTCTATTTTTAAAATATAACTTATTTTAAACATTTGACGGATTGATACGTTTTTCCTACAGGGTGTCCCACGAAACATGACATTTGATAAATAGTTATTTTTAGTTAAACAAATCTTTTGCTTAATTATATTTTACTTGAAATCAATTTTAATATAACACATGACTCCATTATAATATTTTTATTGATCTTAGGTATCAAACAACTGAACAAATAATGGAAAAAAACATTCTAAACTATTCGTCAACTGTCATGTTTCGTGGGACACCCTGTACTTCCCCAGGAATCCCCGAGTTGGATAATAGGAACCGGTTCGACAGAGAGAGAGGGTCGTCTTTGTATTAACATGTTAAATCATATTTGAACATGAAATACGTTAATTCCTAATTCTAAAAACAAAAGTTTTAATATTTTTTTATATAATGACAGTCACATGATGTCATTAAAATATGATAATTTTGGATTTTATTGGGCTGTTGTTACTGAGAAAAAACGTTTAAATAATGTCTATGCATAGGTACCGTACCTTTGCGCTGGAATTCTAAGCGATAAATTGTCTTTTTCTCGGCCATAGTTATCTTAGAAAAGTAAGGTGAATACCAATGAATGGCTACTAGGCTATTTAGTTTACTCTCAAGTTACCCAAATAAGTAAACGGTCCCTTTAAAAATATGGTTTCAAGGATTCGGTTTTGATGATATTGTTTCAAAAATATGATTTTAAGAGTATGGTTTCACAGGAGCTGTTTCAAGAATATAATTATAAGAATTTGATGGTTATTATGTTTCTTTCTGTAGAGGATTGTTCCCAAGCACATATAGATGACTCAAATGCAGACCAACCTGTACACAAGGATGCACCACATGGACATCAACCTGTGCACATGGCTGCACCTCATGGGCACATGGTTGCACCTCATGAACACATGGCTGCACCTCATGGGCACATGGTTGCACCTCATGAACACATGGCTGCACCTCATGGGCACATGGTTGCACCTCATGGACACATGGTTGCACCTCATGGAGACATGGTTGCACCTCATGGACACATGGTTACACCTCATGGAGACATGGTTGCACCTCATAGACACATGGTTGCACCTCATGGAGACATGGTTGCACCTCATGGACACATGGTTGCACCTCATGGACACATGGTTGCACCTCATGGAGACATGGCTGCGCCTCATCTAGGTAATATGATTTTAAACTTTAAATTTCAAGAATTTAATTTTAGTAGGCATTCAATCTTCAAGTTAATAATTAGGCAATTGATTTACTCATTGTTTTAGACAAAAGTGTGGTAAAGAATTTAGCAGTGGTAAGTGCTACTCATCAACATGAAGAGAGTTTAAATCCCGAACCTCTGAATACTAGAGGTGGGAGGGAAGAGAAGATGAAAAGGATTCCTGAAGTATCTGGAGTAAGATCTCTTCAACCCTCTCCACCTCGTCAAGTTAAAGAATCAGAACATTTTAACTGTATTGGTCGAGCTGCCAGGCTTTATGCTGATGTTGAAGCGGGTTGTAAGGTAAATATATTAACACAGAATACAAGATACTCAGAATACAGGATACCCAGGATACAGGATACCCAGAATACAGGATACAGGATACCCAGAATACTGGATACAGGATACCCAGAATACAGGATACTTGACTCCCAGAATACAGGATACTTGACTCCCAGAATACAGGATACAGGATACCCAGAATAAAGGATAACAGAGCTGAAAATTCTTAATCATAATTACTAAATCATTGTATCCAGTGAGAATTCTCTCATTTATTGTGCGCAAAATTTCAAAATGTCTAAGATTCTGGTTGGCTGTTCGGTTTCTTTAATCGACACTGATTGGTTGCATTTTAGTCACTGTCCTGGATATTAATGTAAGATTAAAATAATTTTCAGATAAATAAAAAGTGGAGATTAAGCATTGATCTCGATATCCACAATTCTTAAGTTTTCAGCTTAGGATTCAGATAAACAGGGTACAGGATAACGGATATAAAATATAGGATACAGGATACAAGATACAGAATAGGATACAAAACAAAGAATAAGGATACAGAATACAGAATAATAGGATAATGAATATTGGAAACAGGAAACCTTCAGAAACTTGAGACTGTAAAATCAACAATCAGTGAAGATCCCAAGAAAGGAACTGAGTTTTTGAAACAAACTCTGATTTTTAATCCAAATATCTGTTGTAGACCATGTGATATTTCAAACTGTAAATTTTGTTGGATCAAATAGTAAAAGCTCGAAAAATTAAATATTCACACCATCAGGTTACAAAGATATAAGAATTATAAAGTTTTAATATAGCTTGATTTTTATTTTTGAAAAAGTTAATTTGAATTTTCTACATTTACTCTTACAGAGATTTCTACTGTGCCATGAGAGTGGTCGGATGGGTAGGTTCAATTGTCCTGTTGGAACATTGTTTAATGAACCTCTTCAGATCTGTGATTGGAAGTACAAAGTAACCTGCTGAATTGTCCAGGTAGGTTTATAAGTATACAGCTGAACCTTGAATTCTCCAAGTAGGTTCATATGTAAACAGTTAAACCTTGAATTCTCCAGGTAGGTTTATAATTAAACCTTGAATTCTCCAGGTATGTTTATAAGTATTCAGTTAAACCTTGAATTGTCCAGGTAGGTTTATAATATGAAGTATACATTTAATCCTTGAATTGTCCAGGTAGGTTTATAAAATGAAGTATACATTTAAACCTTGAATTGTCCAGGTAGGCTTACAATATGAAGTATATATTTAAACCCTTGAATTGTCAATGTCCAGGTAGGTTTATAATATGAAGTATACATTTAAACCTTGAATGGTAGGTTTATAAAATGAAGTATACATTTAAACCTTGAATTGTCCAGGTAGGCTTACAATATGAAGTATATATTTAAACCCTTGAATTGTCAATGTCCAGGTAGGTTTATAATATGAAGTATACATTTAAACCTTGAATAGTCCAGGTAGGTTTATAATATGAAGTATACATTTAAACCTTGAATTGTCCAGGTAGGTTTATAATATGAAGTATACATTTAATCCTTGAATTGTCCAGGTAGGGTTATAATATGAAGTAAACAGTTAAACCTTGAATTCTCCAGGTAGGTTTTAATATGAAGTATACAGGTAAACCTTGAATTGTCCATGTAGGTTCATAAGTATACAGTTAAACCTTGAATTGTTCAGGTAGGTTTATAATATGAAGTATACATTTAAACCTTGAATTGTCCAGGTAGGTTTAAAATATGAAGTACACAGTTAAACTCTGAATTCCTTAGGTAAGTTTATACAGTCAAACCTTAGTTAACCTTAATTAGCGAACTTTTTAATTATCAATTTTTGAAATTGTACCAAATCATGTTTTGAATGATAAAAATTATTTCTTTTTACAAGAATACCTTTATAGCTCCGCTGTTACTGAGTTGATTCAAGTGCGTAGTAACTTTGGCACAAATGGGAAACTTTGAAAAAACTATGTCTTTATAGATCAGAGCTGGGAACTTTTGAATGGTGGATATCGGGATTAATGCTTGATCCAATCTTTTTCTTAATCTCGAGATTAAATAATGCTTGTTCTCCTCTTGTTAATAATCTCCAGATTAATTAACCGATCGGGATTAAGGATATCCAACTCTAAAGTTTCCAGCTCAGGTCTCTTAAGTTAATTTTTCTCCATACTCCATCCTTCACTTGAACAGCTAACACTGATATATATGTATATAAATGTATATATGAGTCCATGAACCTACATAGTTCTAAATATATAATTTTAAACTTTAAACCTTGTTTTCTAGGTTAAGATGAACCCTGAGTAAACATGCAACCCTCAATCCTTGAATCCTGGAGTAGTGCAATCCTAAACCAAACTTGCAGCATTATATATACTACAATATAAACTATACAGTTTTTTTACAACATTTTGAACTACAATATAAACTACAGTACTTACTTCAGTAAATTTTATTATGGATTACAGTAATAATATATAAATCTACCATGTAGGGCATATTAGACATAATTATAAACACAACCAATTCCGAGTTTATTTATCTTATTTATTTTTACTTTTTTAAATAAAAAATGAAATAAAAATATGTACTTTTTAATAATTCACTCTCGTGTACTAATTATTAAACTTATTTTGACCCCCTGACGTGAATAATGTCTCAATCTTTGAAGCTTAAAAATCAGGAACCCTGATTTTAATGAGAATATTCTTAGGCAATTTCAGAAATTTAAAAAAATCATCCTTATACTTGAAAATCAGCCTTCATTTTAATCGTGATTTATCTCTATGAACCTGAATATCAATCTATTTAAAAATATTTCCAACCTAACTAGACTTACAGAAAAGGTAGACTACATTTCGAAAATCCCAAAACTAGGAGGTTTCGATACTATATTTCCAAGTTAAAAATCGTCGTTAAATTCTATTTTTTGGGACACCCTTTTAATAACTTCCTATGTATTATACAGTGGTAGGCGATTATGTCAATACAACTAAGACGACTGTTTTATTCAAGTTTTGATTGTTAACAAGCTTTTTTCGAATTACAACTTTACACGTAATCATAGAGAAGCTTTTTTAATTGACAGCTTTTATCTAAAGTCGTCTCATTGTATTGATATAATCGCCTATCACTGTATATCTATTAACCTAAATCTATGTATTAGTCTATTATTTATCTATATATCACCAATCTATATTTCTACCTCCATACATCTGCCTCTGGCAAAACAGGTGTCAGAGTTGATTATAGCTTAGTGTTTTCATTCATCTTCTTTATATTCATCTTAACATCTTCTTCAAACACTTTCTTAAAAACCCATTAATCAATAATAATTATAAGCATTCTGCAGCAGGGCCGTAACTGGGGAGGGCCACTGGTGCATACACCCCCCCCCCCCCTACTCCCCCACGTAAGCTCAAATTAAAGGTGAAATACCCTCTGTAGACATTAAATTGAATTCTGCTCCAATGCAAATAAGGAAATTAATTTTGAACTCATTTCTCAATTTTTATAATGCTCTTGCCCTCTTACTAGTAATAATTTCAAACAAGGTTACATTGTGCCTCTAAGCGTTTTTTCTTCCAACATTGTAAAACAAAACCACAAAAACTTTTTTATTTTCAAAATTCTATAGAATCGAAAATTTTTAGAATGATGTCTTATAACCGGTCATAAAACACCCTGGTTCCCTTTGGTGGTGACTGGTGATTACCAGTTGGTAGATGAAGTCTAGTGCAAGCCAACATGTAGGGAGACAAATCAACGGCACTGACCACCAACCCAACCAACAATGGTTTGGTCCGTTTCAGTATATCATTTATCAACTTTCGAAAATCAAAGAAAAATTTCCTCTTTTCTTTTGTTTCTTGGGACATCTTGTATATTAATTGTTTCATTAACTTGTAACTTTTTGGCGGAACCTGTAGAGGTCACGACCGAACCTGTAGAGGTCACGACCGAATCTGTAGAGGTCACGACCGAACCTGTAGAGGTCACGACCGAACCTGTAGAGGTGAAGTCCGTACCTGTACTGGAGTTGCAGATGTGGTTCCTGCTTTTCAGGACTGGAACCATCTCTAGCTTTTTAAAAGCGATCTCGATCTGACCGATCGAAGCTTTCTCTTGAGATTCTTCCTCGCCTGATGTAAAGGCTCAGAACCAGAACTGGAGGTTCCGGGATGAACCTGTCCTAAAATTGTATTTTTAGACAAAACAACGTTTCCGCTGTGTAGAGAGGACCCGGCACCGGAGAACCTGCTCTATGGGTCCTACAGGGTTACCCGCAAAAGATGAGACTACTTCAGGAACGACTAGACGGAATTTACATTGTCTTTTTTTCTGAAATTCTTGATTCCTTGCATCTGTGTACTTGTTGTTATCTATGTCAACTCATTAAATACGCCGTTAGAAGACTATAATTCAAGACAGAAGACTATAATTCAAGACAGAAGACTATAATTCAAGACAGAAGACTATAATTCAAGACAGAAGACTATAATTCAAGTCATATTTAAGATTTTTTCAGGTCGACTTTGCTGTCTCATTCATTGCGGGTAACCCTGCAGTTCCTAAATATTCTGCTCCAAAGATTTTTCCTTTTTCTTTCTCCTCCAATTCTCAGATTTCTAATCCGTGTTTAATTCATAGAGACAAGAAGCATTTAGTCTCAGCCGTTTATTTTACCTCAATAACTTCTGAAACATTTTCAAATGTTTTAAATAAAAAGATTATGATTAGGGAATATTGTCTTATCTATTTCAGATATAATAATATAGTTCAAATAGGTTACGAAAAATACTGCACGCGGGTCATATTCGCTTATAGTGCCACTATAGGACAAAATATACCATCTTTTGATCTTTGAGTGAGGGTAAGAATAAATGGTTTATCTATACATTGTGTAGATTATATATTATATATTTTACATATGTACACTTCACAAATCATAAGTTTGCATAGAATATCGATTAATATTTGATGAATTGAGTGTATATATATATTCTAGGTATGTATGCATCTAGTGTATCTTTATATACAGGGTTGTTGAGCTCAAAGGGGGGGGGGTCGAAATGTGGTAGTAATACCAAGGCAGAGTTGGTTTCCCGGGGAAAGGAGGGATATTTATTTCCCAAGCATGCAACGGTCCCGGGTAATTTAAGTTCTCAGGTTGGCAATATAATGTTGTCAAAAATACGACATTTTTCGGCAGCTTTCTCCATTTTCTCCCTAAAATAACTTTTTCAAGAATTTTAGTTATGGTTTCTGACCAGATGTAATAACTTTGAAGGACCCTGGAGATAATTAATTCATTTATCAAATGTAAAAACGAATTAGTAAATATTAAAATTATCTTTTTGCTTTAATGAGCATTAAAAAAATCAACTTTTAAAAATTGCCCTGTTCATATATATATATATATATATATATATATATATACGTCCAATCTAATAGAATACCTTTGAATATATCATTGTCAATAGTTTAAAAAGGTTAGACGGAGAAAAAAGAAAACAAAAAATATAAAATGTAACATTCTTTTAAACCTTTTCCACATTAAATAAGATTTATTTTAGGATTAGAACGAAAGATAATAAAAAATACAGTGGATTTGAAAGGAAGATAAGGATAGCTAACAAAGATGATGATGAATCAGAAGACAAGAATGAACTAGGAAGAAAGATGAAGCTGAGATAAGAAGGAATATGAACTGGGAGGATTGATTAGAAAGAAGATGAGGTTGGATCATAAGAAGATGAGGATGAATTAGGAAGAAGATGAGGATTGATTATAAGAAGATTAGGATGGATTATAAGAAGATGAGGATGAATTAGAAAGAAGATGAGGATTGATTAGAAAGAAGATGAGGATGGATTATAAGAAGACGAGGATGTATTAGAAAGAAGATGAGGATGGATTAGATAGAAGATGAGGATGGATTATAAGAAGATGAAGATGGATTAGATAGAAGATGAGAATGGATTATAAGAAGATAAGGATGGATTAGAAAGAAGATGAGGATTGATTAGAGAGAAGATGAGGATTGATTAGAGAGAATATGAGGATGGGTTAGAAAGAAGATGAGGATGGATTATAAGAAGATGAGGATTGATTAGAAAGAAGATGAGGATGAATTAGAAAGAAGATGAGGATGGATTGGGAAGAAGAAGAGGATGGATTTTAAGAAGATGAGGATGGATCATAAGAAGATAAGGATGGATTATAAGAAGATAAGGATGGATTAGAAGGAAGATGTATTAGAAAGAAGATAAGGATGGATTATATGAAGACGAGGATAGATTATAAGAAGATGAGGATTGGTTCTAAGAAGATAAGGATGGATTATAAGAAGATGAGGATGGATTATAAGAAGATGAGGATGGATTATAAGAAGACGAGGATGCATTAGAAAGAAGATGAGGATGGATTATAAGAAGATGAGGATGGATTAGGATGAAGATGATAATGGATTATGAAAAGATGAGGATGGATTAAAAAGAAGATGAGGATGGATTAGGAAGAAGACGAGGATGGATTATAAGAAGATGAGGATGGATTAGGATGAAGATGATAATGGATTATGAAAAGATGAGGATGGATTAAAAAGAAGATGAGGATGGATTAAAAAGAAGATGAGAATGGATTAGGATGAAGACGAGGATGGATTAGATTGAAGATGAGGATGGATTAGGAAGAAGATGAGGATGGATTATAATTGGATGAGAATGGATTAGGATGAAGACGAGGATGGATTAGGAAGAAGATGAGGATGGATTATAAGAAGACGAGGATGCATTAGGAAGAAGATGAGGATGTATTAGATAGAAGATGAGGATGGATTATAAGAAGACGAGATGCATTAGGAAGATGATAAGGATGTATTAGATAGAAGATGAGGATGGATTATAAGAAGACGAGGATGCATTAGGAAGAAGATGAGGATGTATTAGATAGAAGATGAGGATGGATTATAAGAAGACGAGGATGCATTAGGAAGATGATAAGGATGTATTAGATAGAAGATGAGGATGGATTATAAGAATACGAGGATGGATTAGAAGGAAGATGAGGATGGATTAGGAAGAAAAAGGAAATGAAGATAATGATGGATTATAAAAAGAAAGATAAGATTTATTAGAAAGTAAGACATGAAAGGTATAAAGTATAGCAGAGATAAAGGAATACAGATTACGGAGATGAATTATGGAAAGAAAGATATACATGAAGAAAGAAGAAAGAATATCAGGTTTAAATATGAAGATCAGGATGGAATAGGTAAAATATTAAAATAAAAAAGAAAGAAATATGTCTTATGATGGATTAAGAGAAATCATCAGAATAGATGAAAAAATAATTATTGCAAGATAAAAATAGAAGATAATAGAAGGAAGGTAGTGGACAGAATATTAAGAGAATTATGAAGAAGTTTATATGAAGTGT